TTTTATTGTTTAATTGCTGAAACAAGATGTCAGCCTATTACCCTAAGTAACAAGTTCAATCCTAGCCATTTACATCATCTAGTACCAAGTGGTATTTTTCAGAGAAATGAACAGGAGGAGGAAAATTCCTTGACTGGAAAAAAAATATTGATACATATAATCATTACAGAGCTGTATATTTATATAAGACTAACTGTGAGATGAATGAAGAAATCTCTGAGATTCACTGTTGAGTAGCTTAAAATGTCCAAGTCCTCTGCTAGACTTGAAAACTATTTAGTGTTGAACAAGAATAAGATACTATATCTCACAACTCCTATGTAAATATTTCCATTCCTACTTTCTTTCTGCTTTCATTTTCACTGTGATCTATAGCCTCTCTTTCAGCCTCCTATTTGTATTTTACAACATGCATAATTACAGATTTATTCATTAATTATCTCATTTTCATACGATTTTTATATCTCTTGAATGATTTCTTGGAAACTTCTGCCTTTTTATTTTCCAGAGCAGCAGAGTATTTTTAGGCAATAATATTTTACCTTATCATGTCTTTCAACCATTAAAAGAAAAAGGGAAAGTAGTAAAATAAATAAACAAATACAGACAGTCACCAACTTACAATGGTTTCACTTAAGATTTTCAACGGCACGATGGTGGGAAAGAAATATTCATTGAGTAGAAACCATATTTCCATACTTCAAGTACCCATGCTACTATTATGTTTTTCATTTTCAGTACAGTACTCAATAAATGACATAAAATATTCAACAGCTTTCTATAATATAGGCTTTTTGTAAGATTATTCTGCCCAACTGTAGGCTAATGTTAGTGTTCTGAGCATGGTTAAGGTGGGCTAGGATAAGCTATGATGTTTGGTAGGTTAGGTTTATTAAACATATCTTCAAGCCAGGTATGAGGTGTGTGCCTACAGACCCAGCTGCTCCAGAAGCTGAGGCAGGAGGATTGTTTGAGCTCCGAAGAGTTTTGAGAATATAGTGCACTATGAGCACACCTGAGAATAGTACTGCACTCAGCTTGGGCAACACAACAAGAGTCTACATTAAACAAAACAAAAACAAAAACAAAAAACAGCATCTTCACCTTAGAATAGTATCAACTACAGTGGGTTTATTGGAACATAATCTATCATAAGTTGAAAATATCTTATATAGCAGAATATAGTAACATACTACAGACTTGTTTTCTCAAAGCATAAGAATAAACCAAACTGATCATTCATGGGAGAGAGGACACCCAGGACAGTGTCCTGCAAAATGAGAAATACTTGTAAGACATACTTCATTCCTCACTAGTCTCTTCCCATGAAATAAAATCATTAAGAAATTTTTAGTAATATTTTAATTAAAATTTTGAGCAGAAGAAGGTTGTATAGCGTTACATTAAAAATAAAATAGATTAAATTTAAAAATAAAAATTTTACATAAAAAAAAAAAAAAAAAAAAGAAAGTAAATAAAAATGTCAGGCTTATGTACTAAAGTATCAATAATTCGTTTAATTATGAATAGTCTACCAATTAAGAGACAGATAATAGAATTTGTATTTAAATGTATGACCTTTTTGTATATGTTTCTTGTATGCTGTGTACAAGAAACTCACTTGAAATTTACCAACACAGGTTAGGACAATTTAAAAGGATGAGAAAAGGTATATTGCGCAAGCATTAATGCAAGGAAAGCAAGAGTGCCTGTATGTATATCAGCTAAAGCAAAGAAAATTACCAGAAACAGAGAGATTATATAATGATCAAAGGTTTAATCCATGAAGAAGACAGCAATATTAAAAGTGTGTTCTGCAAAAACAGAGCTTCAAAAAATATGTGATAAAAACTTCACCAGAACTAAGGCGCGTGAGACTCGGACCTGCGCTGCCTCAGGATGGGAGTGTAACAAGGGGGCAGGGGGATGAGGGGACAGCAGCATGGGCCTGTGAGGCCTGTGGGGTGCCCGCGTTCCCCAGATCCCTTGCCTTGTCGCAGTGGTCCGCTCCGCTTGGTGGCAGCGTGCGGTCCAGTTCAGACCCCAGGCTGCGTGTTCTCCACCGCTTGTTGTGGCCAGTGTTACTGCGGAGACCCCAGAGCAGCCTCGGCGCTATGGAGGAGCCCAGCGCTACCCCTCAGCCCTATCTGGGGCTGGTCCTGGAGGCTACGCAGGAGTTGTAGCCTGCCTGAAAGTAGGAGACCAGGTCGAATCCTCATGGTTTCCATAAGAACTGGTGGTATGTGCAGCCGTTGTTGGATTTTGCTGTTCCCCTTTTTTTCTGTGGAAGCTTTTAGATCCGTTAGGAGTCGGCTTTATGTGGAAAGAGAAAAACAACTTGCCACGCGCTTTCTGGACTAATTGAAGAAAAAGAATGTAAACTACTTGAAACATTTGGCACTTATTCAAGCAAATGCAAAGCCTATGAAGCAAGTCATCTTTAGAGATGCCAGCTTTGAGAAAGCGGCAACAAGCACGAAAGTTTGGAAACAACCTTATTGGCTGAACGGGTCAATTCTCAGACTTGGGGATGAAATCTCTGTCTGAAAAAGAGTTCAAAGAAGAGAAATCTAAACATTCTCCAACAAGATGAATTGATGGATATTTCAAAAGGATACAGTCTCTGAAAATGAGTCAAAATCCTGAAATCACAAATAGCAAGCCAAAATCATCTGCAAGATCTTTAACATGAGTGAGAAGAACGGCCGAGATAGCAATCCAAGATGCTTCCCAATTGAAAATTCTCAACTTCAGGAAAGCCAGGCGGCTTTGCAGAAGCTGAAGTATGGAAAGAACAGGTGGTGGGCAATAAACGAGAAATAACATTTGAAGACTCCAAAGTACATGCAGAACAAGTTCACCAAATGATAAAGAAAATCACATCAAGACTCTGACTGGATGCTTGCTAAAGATGAAAGATCGGGCTGCTGTGCTTGGAGAGGACATAGCAGGACGATGATAACTCGGAATTAGAAGTGAAGGGTGAATCGGAAAATGGTGTTTACTTAGATGATCCTCCAACAGGAGCTTTGAAGAAACTGATTCATGCTGCTGAGTTAAATATTTCTTTAAAACCTTAGAAGGAGAAAGAAACCACATTGTTATTGAGTTATCTGAAGTTGATAAAACAAAGGAAAGAGCTTACAGAAACATATTAAAAATCTTCAGACTCAACAAGCATGCTTTGCAGTCAGAAAATATGTATTTTGAAGAGTGAGAATCAAGAAGCTTCCAACAGAGAAACTTAAAATAATGGCTAGATTCTATCCAGAAAATGAAGTGGCATACAGGAAATTGACAGTAGAGAAATTCGGATACAGGAAGAAGAAGCAAAATTGGAAAAAGATCCAGCCACACCACTGAAGGGCTGGAGACCTATGGAAGCTAGCCAGTCTTGAAGAAGAATTGAAGAGAACTATTAATTTTATCAAAGGCAGGTTATTTCCCTGCGAGAAAAAGGACATGATAATTGGTTGGCAGCTCGGACTGCTGAAAGAAACCTCAATGATTTAAGGAAAGAAAATGCTCACAACAGACAAAAATTAACTGAAACAGAGTTTAAATTTGAACTTTTAGAAAAAGATCCTTGTGCACCTGATGTTTCAAATACAGCATTTGGCAGAGAGCATTCCCCATGTAGTCCCTCACCATTGGGTCAGCCTTCATCACAAACGAGAGCTTTTCTGTCTCCTCCAGAAACTGTGTTGGAGAGGTCACGAACCCTCACCTATGCTTCCGGAGGAGAAAGGAAGAGGCCCAAGAGGCCCAGGGAATCCTCTGGACCATCAGATTACCAATGAAAGAGGAGAACCAAGCTGTGATACGTTGCAATCCTCACAGGGCTCCTTCTGATACTGGGTCCCTGTCATCTCCATGGGAACAGGACACGTAGGATGATATTTCTCCACCAGGACAATCATATCCTGATTCAGCGCTTCCTCCACAAAGGGAAGACAGATTTTATTCTAATTCTGATGGACTGTCTGGGCCAGCAGAACTCAGAGGATTTTAATGTGCCTTCTTTGGATAAAATGGATGGGTCAATGCACAGAAATGGAATCCAGTAGAAATGATGGCAAAGTCATCCTGGTAATGCAAATGTGCCTGATTCATGCTTTCCTGCTAAAAATGAAGCAACTGGTACCGGCTTTGTTCCTCCACCTCTGAAGCCAATCAGAGGTCCGTTGTTTCCTGTGAATACAAGAGGCCCATTCATGAGAAGAGGACCTCCTTTCCCCCCACCTCCTCCAGGAACCATGTTTGGAGTGTCTCAAGGTTACTATCCACCAAGGGATTTCCCAGGTCCACCCCACGTGCTCCATTTGCAGTGAGAAACATCTATCCCACCGAGTTTTCCTCCTTACCTTCACCCAAGACCTGGATTTTACCCCAACCCCACATTCTGAAGGTGAAGCAAGTTCGTGTCAGGGTTGATTCTGCCTTCCAAAGGAACCTGCTGCTGAACAACCAGAACCACAGCAGAGAGGCGACAATATTTTTGCTCTCTTCAAAAGTAATTTAGACTGATCTCATTTTCAGTTTAAATGCGGCTGTTATTTAAGTGATTACACTTTTCTCAAATTGAAGTTTAAGGATTTATAGTTCTTAGTATAGTAGTTTGTAAATAAAGATGATTTAAATACAAATCTATGAGTAAATCATTTCCATTTTATTATTTCTAGATCATATAAATTTTAATCTCAGGAACTAATCCACTACTATAGCAACAATAGTGGAGGTTTATATATGTAATCTACTTGGGTGGGAGGCTTTAAATTCTAAAGGCTGTGTCTTCATGCCTAGAACTGTATTCACTGTGCTTGTAGATAAATGAGAAAGTAACTTTATGCTTAATTACATACTATTTTAGTTGATTTTTTTTTTAAGAAGAAAACTGCCAGAACTGAAAGGAGATATAGACGAATCCACAATTATAGTTAGAAATTTCCTCATGCCTTTTTCAATAATTGATAGAACTAGACAGAAAATCAGCAAGGAGTGTTGGCTTTGGCAGCACTTTCTAAAATTAGAATGATGTAGACAAGATTAACACGGCTCCTGCATATAGATTACACAAAATTTTTGTGAAACATTTCATATTTTTAAAGGAAAAAAAATCAACAAGAATATAAAACAACTCAAAATGCCATTAACCAAAAGAATTATTTGGCATTTTACAGAATATTCACACAACAGCAGAATACACTTTTTTTTTTTTTTTTTGAATTCTGACAAAACCATGGCAAGATAGAGCTATCCTAGGCCTAAAACTTCGCCACAAATTTAAGAGATAGTAATCATCCAGAGCAGATGAAAACCAGAAATTATTGTAGGTAATCCAATTAGAAAACAGCATACAAGAAAGATGTAGAAAATCCTAAACGTTTGAAAATTTAAAAACACACTTCAAAATGATCTATTGGTTAACAAAGAAGTATCAAGGAAAAATTTAAAAATACATTGGACTGGATAAACATGAAACTGTATTATCAAAAGTGCTCAGAAGGAAACTTGTAGCAATAAATGCATGCATTAGTAAAGAGGAAAAGTCAGGTAGGCAATAGGTCACCACACCTCAGGAACCTAGAAAAAGAAGAGCAGAATAAACTGAAAGCAAGTAGACGGTGGGGATTAATGAAGATAAGAACAGAAAACACATTTTAAAGAGAAAAAACAATAGTTAAATCAATGAAGAGATAGCTCTGTTAAAAGATTAATAAAATTTAGCAAACTCAAGCAGAAATTAAAAGGAAAAGAAAAGACATACATTTTAAATATCATAATGAAACAGGCGATATCACTACAGACACTGCACATCACAAAGGACAATCAAGGAATATTACAAACCACTCCACACACATAATTAGACAATTTAGACAAAATGGACAAAATGCAGTGTTCCTGCTGCGACACAAGCTAACTCCAACTCACCACGCAGGAATAGATCATCTGAGTAACTCTATAACCACTAAGAAAATGATTCATAATTTTAAAACTACCAAATAAGAAATCTGTAGGTTTAGATGGTTTCACTGGAGAATTCTGACATGTTTTTAAAAAATTAACACCAATGCTACACAATCTTTTCCAGAAAACAGAAAAGGAGAGAACACTCCCCAATTTACTTTTTGAAGTTATTATTACACTGATACCAAAACCAGGAGAGATACCAAAACCAGGGTGTGTGTGCATATGTAAAGATATGTATAACTTAATATGAACAAATGGAGTTCTGCAGTATATTAAAAAAATGTACCCCATGTTCAAGGGGGGTTGTTGCCAGAAATACAAGGCTGATTAAATCTCAAAAAGTCAATCAAAATAATCACCTTGTTAACAAACAAAAAAGAAGGAGAATTACATTGTATCAGTTGATGCATAATAAACATTTAACACATTTCGATATCCATTCATGATAAAAGCTGTCTATAAAGTGGGAATAGAGGAAACTTTACCACTTGATAAAAAGCATCTACAAAAAGCTAGCATTATATAGTCATGTGTTGTTTAACCATGGGGATACGTTCCGAGAAATGTGATGTCAAGTGATTTTGTCATTGTGCAAATGTGGTAGAGTGTACTTACACAAATGTGATAAGTATATATAGTAGACACTATACACCTAGGCTATGGAATAGCTCATCCCTCCTAATTGACAAACACCGAAATATTGAGTGTACTGAAATACTACAGGCAATTTGTAACGCAGTAAGTGTTACATTTGTAATGTGAAACCCAGGGCCCTGCTGGCATAGGCACCAGGGAATCTCCTAGTCCTATAGGGTTGTGAAGAACATGGGAAAAGCGCAGTATCTGGGCCGAGTGCATCATTCCTCGTGGCACAGTCTGGAAGCTTCCTTAGCTGGGGAGGAGTTCCTTGACCCCTTATGCTTCCTGGGTGGTGTTTTCCACCCTGCTTCAGCTCACCCTCCATGGGCTGCACCCACTGTCTAACCAATCCCAATGAGATGGCCAGGTACCTCAGTTGGAAATGCAGAAATTACCCACCTTCTGCATTGATCTCAGCACAGGAGCTGGACTGGACTGCTTTGCTTCGGCCCGTCATACCAGCCACCTGCTTTATTTCTTATTTTCTATAAAAGATTTTTACTGAATAAACTTTCAGTATAATAAAAAGTACTTTTTCAAATACTAAAATAACCATTTTCCTTTTTCATCTGCTGACATGAGTGGATTAATAAATTGTTTTCTAATGCTAAAACGTATTGAGTCTGGTATTATGTGCATTATGATATGTGCAAGTTATTGTTTATAAGTTTAATATTGTTCTTGGGATTCCATCTCCATATTTAGGAGTTAGTTAGCTGTAAGTTTCTCTTTCCGTGTACTTGTTATGTTTTGATATCAAAGTTACATCTTTCCTCATAAAATATATTATTGAATGCTCCCTTTTTTGCTTTCTTTGGAAGTTATCATAAACATTAAAACTATTTGTTCCCTAAATATTTGAAAGAAGTCACCAAACATTGTGCCTGGAAATTTCTTTATAAGAAGTTTTAACCCATTTGGGATATTTGAGACAGGCAAGTCATGAGGTCAGGAGTTCGAGACCAGCCTGACCAACATGGTGAAGCCCTGTCTCTGCTAAAAATACAGAAATTACCCGAGTGTGGTGGTGCTCACCTGTAATCCCAGCTACTCAGGAGGCTGAGACAGGAGAATCACTTGAACCCAGGAGGTGGAGGTTGCAGTGAGCCAAGACTGCACCACTGCACTCTGGCCTAGGCAACAGACTGAGACTCCATCTCAAAAAAACAAAAAACAAAAAACAAAAAAAACACTTATTACCTACTGCCAGCATTCCCTCAGTGTTACAGAGCTATTGGTAAACTTCTTAGTTCAGTTTTAAAAATGATACTTTTCAACAATTTGTGTCTTTTACCTAAATTTTCAAATGTATTGACTTAAAAGTTGTTTATTCATTTCTGTATTATTATTTAATAATCGCATCATCTGTCATTTTCTTTCCCTTTCATTCCTGATGTTATTTATTGGTACTTTGTGTCACTCCTCTTTTCTCCTTACTCGGTCTCACTAGAATTCGTCTCTTCAAGGGCAATTTTGGAGTTTAGTTCTTGCCACTTTCTATTTAAATCATATCTGTTCTTAGTTTATTATTTCCCTTTCTTCTGCCTTTTGAGGTAGTCATTATTTACTATTATTATCCAACTTCCCTAATATGATGCTTAGCTCCATTTATTACTGATGTTTTTTTGCTTATCTAATATTAACTTTTAAAAACATACATTATTTGAAGCACTTTGTGCCAAATAGACAGTATACATATACGTCATACAAATAGCTGAAAGGAACAAGTAAATTCTGCAAATTAATCACTGTGCATACAAGCAACTGGACTACTGAATGGGTTCAGAGTGAATGAGTGTGTGAAATACTCACTCTTGGTGAATGGAATTTCAGAGCTTTGGCTCTTCCCGAATCATCATACAGACCCAGGAGCCTCTTCCAAGGAGACGCTCCAATGGAACAGGCCCAGAGTAGTCATAGACCTCACTGTTTCTGCTCATTTTAAAAATGGTTTTCCTCTTGACAACCATATTTCATAATATTTATCAGCGTTTCACACTACACATGGTAGAGGCTTTTGCAGAGATTCCCTTGCTCACCACAGGGAATGCTATCATGCGAGCATAAGGCCTTCTTTGGAAAAAAAAACTTGAAGAAGGAAAAATCTCCAGGCTACATCGCTTCCAGTCTGGGATGCACACCCAAAACTCCATGAGAAATAGCCCAGGAACTTATGAGAAGCACACACCTGTGAGTATGCTTTTGGTATTCAGAGAAGCCTCCCAGCCAACATCACCCTTTCAAAAGGAAGCAGGAAGAAAGATATTCCCAAAGACAGTCACTCCTTCTCCCTATAGATAGCATCTCCAGATCATCCACTTGTTATTTCCACATAGATGTCTCTTCTCCTTCCCACGGGACCTGAGCCATCCACAGGACATCCAGACATCCAGGTGAGCTCCTCCGACTGTTTCTGGAATACAAATGTTCCTGCTCTGCAGGCATGGAGAACAGGTGTTAACCAAAGTTCTTGTTTGTTTAGGCTGGCAGTGGTCAGCCTGGGGCTTCTGGTGACCACAGGAATTGAAGCTGTTAAAAGCTTTTGGGTTAGTGAAAGACAACACGTGTGTTTGAGATTGAAAAAACCTCTAAGGTACCCAAGTGCATTCCTTGCTGTTCATCTCTTCTCTGTTTCTGATTTTCTTTCTACTCTGATTCTCTTTCTTTAGTTCTTGCCACATTTATCCTTCTTTGGTCTTATACATGAGTGTGATTTTGTCTGTTTTGCACATGAACAGTCAGAGAATCAGGACTGAGGGAAATTGACTATCATGCCATGTTATCTGCAGGTGAGAAAACTATGACCTGAGAAATAAAAAAGAACTTTGCTCTATGTCACCAGAGATCCAGCGGGTGAGCCGCAACAGCAGCAGAGAAGATGCGTCAACAACAAAAATAAAATAATTTCCAAAGGAATTTTTGTATTTGATATTGCAAAAAAGGAAAATTGAAGTAGTCACCAAAGAAAAATCGGGATTTTGTTTTCTTTTCTAGCTGAGTAAATGGTTTGGTTTTTTAATTACATATGGAATGTGTGAAGGGACACCACCATGAGTCGAAACTTTAGGCTCCAAGGTGATTAGGTGGTTCAAGTGTCATGCAAGTGGTGACAGAGCACCATCTGTTTCTGTTCTCATGATCCTTACTCCACAACCTCAAGAGGGAAAGAAATGTCACCTACTATATCTTCTTTCAATTACATTAAATTCTACTACTTGCAGCTTTACTTCCTATTGAACTAGTAGGCAAATTGCAGTCCAGCAACATTAAACTTGAAACTGGAGATTGAATCTTTAAATCCAATGAATCTTGTAAAAGTGCTTAAGGGAAGCAGAGACATTTAGGAAGGTTTCTCTAGTCTTTGGTCAACATTGGCCACAGCTAAAGGGCCCACTATTTACAAATCCATGGTCCTTGAAATCAAAATGGTTCTGCTGCTGCCTTAAGCTGGGACATCTTCACGAACATCTCCAGTGACTGGGACCAGTTTCTTTA